CGTCAAGGTCGCAAGATTTGCACGGATCCCAGGATATCCCTCATATTCCTAAGAAACCTTCGGAGTCCAACAGGTTCCGAAGCATTTCGATGGGCCCCCATGGAACACTAAAGATCCTTCCCGGTCCCCCCCCCCCAAAAAAAACCCACGATTCCTGAGGATCGCTTGGGCCCCAGGCTGGGTGCTGGTCCGTTAGCAATCGTGAGGATTCCTGAAGATCCCAACGGATCCCCAAAGATTCCCACGGTCCCAACATGGGCGTTGGTCCGTGCGTCCCCGCTCTGCGTGCCAAGCCGATGCCTACTCTCATTGCGACTACAGCCATTTCCAAGTCAGTCTTAAATTTCGAATCGGAGCGGTCCGACGACGACGACGACCACGACAACCGAGGGCCGCCGATTGACGCTGGCGCATCGGCGACGCCAATGGACGTCCCCGCGCCGCGTCGCGTCGGAACATGCTCGAATCCATTTTAAAAACTGACATGTCAGATGTACATCTGGCTGGTACACTGCGTTACCTAACTAGAACCTTCACTTGGCGCCGCACAACTGGCATTGCAGCCTGACCGGGGCAAGCACCACACAAACTGCGCGCGACGCAGCGGATTGATTCTGCAGAGTGACTCCGCCACTCGCCCCAGCCAACACGGGAACGCCCACTGGCGTCGCTGTCGCGGCAGAGTAGTCGTAGAAACCGTGTACAAACCAGTAGAAACCGAATACTAACACAAACAACACAAATCGACGTGTATATTTACAGTGACACCGGTCCATCGCGTTGCACATAAATCTATATGTAAACTATTTAACATGTGCGCCGGATTCTATGTAATAAATACGCGGCTTGCACGCGGTGTCTATGCGGTTCCCGTAGTGTCCCACGCGGCTTCTACAACGAAGCAGCAGCGGCGGCGTTGGGCTTCCCGTACAAAATTGGGATAGGAACCAGCCGTATTCGAATAATTCATATTACTTATTTTACTATTACTGCTGCTACTACTACTACTACTGCTACTACTACTACTACTACTACTACTACGACTACTACTACTACTGCTACTACTACTACTACGACTACTACTACTACTACTACTACTACTACTACTACTACTACACCTACTACTACTACTACTACTGCAACTACTACTACTACTACTTCTCTAATACTACTACTACTACTACTACTACTACTACTGCTACTACTACTACTACTACTACTACGACTACTACTACGACGACGACCACTACCAGTGCAGCGACTACCAACTACTACTACTACTACGACTACACATTTGCTATCACGTGTACTACTGCTACTACGACTACTACTACTACTACTACTACTACTACTACGACTAATGCTACTACGACTACTACTTCTACTACTACTACTACTACTACGACTAATGCTACTACGACTACTACTACTACTAATACTACTACTACTACTACTACTACTACTACTACAGCAACTACTATTACTACGACTACGACTACTATTACTTCTACGACTCCGACCACTCCCACTATAACTACTATTATTACTGTTGCTACTACTGCTACTACTACTACTACTACTACTACTACTGCTATTACTGCTACTACTACTACTGCTACTACCACTACTACTACTACTACTACTACTACTACTACTACTACTACTACTGCTACGACTACTACTACGACTACTGGTGTTACCAATGACGGTACCATTGGTTGTAATAGTCGTAGTCGTAGTCGAAGTAGTAACCGTGGCCGCAGTAGTAGTAGTAGTAGTAGTAGTAGTAGTAGTAATAGTAGTAGCAGCCGCAACAATAAAAGTAGTAGTAGGAATGGTAGTAGTAGTAGTAGTAGTCGTAGTAGTCGTTGTAATCGTAGCAGTCGTAGTAGTAGTTAGTAGTAGTCGTAGTCGTAGTCGCAGTCGTTGTCGTAGAATTAGTCGTATGTAGCGGTAGTAGCGGAAATGTTAAGGATATTAATGGTAGTTGTAGTTGTAGTAGTAGAAGTCGTAGTGATGATAATGGTAGTAATCGCCGTAGCAGTAACTAGTCGTATGAGTAGAAGTAGTAGCACTACTTGTGGTAGTAGCCGTAATAGTAGTAGTAGGTAGTAGCGATAGCAGTAGTAGTCGTAGTAGTGGTGGAGGTGATGGTGGTCGTAGTAGTAGGCGCGGTGGTGATAAACAAAATGGATGTAGTGGTAGTCGCAATAGCCGCAGCAGCAGCAGTAGAAGCAGCATTAGTAGTAGTAGTTGTTGCCGTAGTCGTAGTGGCAAGATTACTAGTAGTAGTAGTCGTCCTAGTCGGCGGCGCAGTCGTCTGCCTTCTTCTTCTTAATAGTAGCAGGAGTAGTAGTAGTCGTCGTCGTCGCAGTCGTAGTCGTAGCCGAAGTAGCCGTAGCAATAACAGTGCTAGTAGTAGCCGTAGTCGGAGTTGTAGTAATAAGAGCCCAAATACTTCTACTACGCCTACTGTTACTGCTTCTACAACGGCTACCTCTATTACTACGACTACAAATACTGATTCTACGGCTACGACCACGACTGTCGCAATATCGACGGCTACTTCTACGACTACTACTACTTCTACTACTACTACTACTACTACTACTCCTACCACTACTGCTACTACGACCGCTACTACTACATCAACGACTACGACTTCCACTACTACTACTACTACTACAACGACTACTACTACTACTACTACTACTACTACTACTACTACTACTACTACTACGACTACGGCTACCACTGCTACGAATACTACTAGCACTGCGAGTACGACAACTGCACGCAATACTGCTACAAAGGCCGGTACGGCTGCTGCTGCACTACTACTACTACTACTACTACTACTACTACTACTACTACTACGGCTACTACTACTACTACGACTACTACTACTACTACTACTACGACTACTACTACTACTACTACTACTACTACTACGACTGCTACTACTACTACTACTACTACTACTACTGCTACGACTAGTACGACTCTTACGACCACTCGTCTACTACTACTGATAATACTACGACTACAGCTACCATTACGAATACAGCTACAACTACTATTCTTAGTATTAGCCGTGGTAGTACTACTACGCATACGACTACTACAACTACAACGGCTACTACGACTACTACTACCACTACTACCATTACGACTACTACGACTACTACTACTACTAGTAGTACCACTTCCAAGACTACTACTACTACTACTACTACTACTACTACTACTACTACTACTACTTCTACTACTAATAATACCTCTGCTGCAACTACCCATACTACTACTACTACGACTACTACTACTACTACTACTACTACTACTACTACCACTACGACTGCTACGATCACTACAAAACGACAACGATAGCAACACCATTACAACTACTACTAATACTACGTCTACTACGACCACCAACACTGCGCTTACTACTACTACTACTACTACTACTACTACTACTACTACTACTACCACGACTGCTACTGTTACGAAGACGATTGCTGATACCACCACGACTACAACAACTACTACTACTACTACTACTACCACTACTACCACTACAACCACTAATACCACTACTACTACCACTACTACTACTATTACTACTTCTACTACTACTACTACTGCTATTACTACTGCTACTACTGCTACTACTACTACTAAGACGACTACTACTTGTACTACTACTACTACTACTACTACTACTACTATTACTACTACTACTACTACTACTGCTGTTGCTACTACTACTACTACTACTACTACTACTACTGCTACTACTGCGACTACGACTACGACTACTGCTACTACTACTACTACTACTAGTACTGCTACTACTGCTACTACAACAACTACTACTACTACTACTACTACTACTACAACTACTACTACTACTACTACTACTACTACTACTACGGCTACTACTACTACTACTACTACTACGACTACTTCCACGAACACTACTAACACCGAACTACAACTAACCGCACGATTTGCTCTAATTCATAGAGCCGTGCTAAGAGAAGTAGCGATACGAATCGAATACCGTATACTATCATTTTGTTTTGCCAGAATGCCCTGAGGTACGAATTGGAGTGTCCTCAGGTCCTTGGCCTAATCCTTAAGGTTCAATCCCAACTCTTGACCACTATCAAGGGGCCTGGACCCCAAATTCTTCAATCTCCTGGGGTTTCTCGCCCTGGCGCGCCTTGTCGCACGACTTCTCGCACGGCTTGTTCGGGCCCAGGAGGGCCCCGAAGCGGGCCAAGAGCGCCCCAAGAAGCCCCCAAGTGCCCAAGAGGGCCCCGAATCGCCGAACCATCGGTCCAAGACGCACAAGAAGGCATGAAAACGAATGAAGAGGCATCCAAGACTCCCAAAGAAAGGCCCAAGAGGCCTCCCAATCCGGCCCCAAGAGGCAAACATCAAACTTGCGGTAGGAAAGCGTGCATGTTCAGCATCTACTACTTTTCGGTTTCACGGCGTTCAAGACGGCCCAAGAGCCCCCCAAGATCGACCGAAAACGGCCCAACAAGCCCCCACGAGGGCCCCATGACGGCCCAACCAAAGTGTCCCGTTGTGAACAAAATACATCGTTTGGATCTCAGGGGCGAGCCCATTTCGAGCCCGACTTGACTTGTTCCCTCTCTCAGCGTCCTGGCAGCGCGACCCCAAAGCGGCCGCCTTTGGGCCCGCCCCTGGGAAACCTCTCGCGCTGCGTCGGGCCCGTGGCGACAAGAGCGAACCAGAAACGCTCCAGGCTAACGTCGCCGCCGTCCGTCGATGTCGCCGCCGTCTCGCCCCCCTGAAATCCGGGCGCTGCATTTTTCTCACACCAGGCGTTTTCGCCCGGTGTTCGGCCCCGAGACCATCGCAGATCGATCTGGCTCACAGAATTCCGCAGAGAGTTTGGGTCTGGAGCTCTGGTGGCGATGTCTCGCGATGCTGCAACTTTGGGCCCCTCGTGCTTGGCGGTGGTCGGCGTCCTGGCGCCTCCTCCGCTCCTCGGGCGCCTTCGCCCCCTCCTCACGCCTGCGGTCCTTCTCCTTCCTGTCCTTCCCGCCGTCCCTCTTGGGGTCTCTCCTGTGCGGGCCCGGCAAAGGCAAGCCCCGCCCCCCCACCTCCGCGACGTCCGCCGCAGCAGCCCCCCTCGCGCCGGCCTGCCCTCCCACGTACGGGCAGGCAGCCGGAGGGGAGCCTCGAGGGGGGGGCGGGGGGGCGTCGGTGCGCGGGACTCGGCGCTTCTGCGGCCGTGGCTGGGGGATCCTGAGAGGAGCACCCTCCGAGCAAAGGGCGGCGATAGGGGGGGGACTGGCGCAGGGGGGGGGAGGGAACATCGATATGGAATCGACGATGCCTTGGCGAGAGGCCCCCGATGGCGAATCCGCACGTTCCTGGGCGGGATGGGGCTATTAGACTCCTATCGGCGATCAATGGGCGATTGGGGGTCGGTGCGTCACCTCCCCATCGCTGCCCCTGACCGAGCCTTCCGCGCGACCGCGCCGCGACGCCTGCCGCACGGAGGGCGCAGAAGGTGGAGGTCGAGCCGTTCTCCCCCGTCCAACAGCACCAAAAATTCGATGTCTTGGTCTGTTCAACACGGGCCCCCCCGGATGCCCCGACACTTTCCAGAGGCCGGCTTTTCATCGGTAGTTGTTTGACGGTCCCCAGAGGCCGAGAACGGCGACAGACCGGCGTCTTGATTTTTGTCAATGCGTTGGATGTCTGGGGATCGTCCCCCTGGATCTACCCAGGGGTGCGGCCAGAGCTTCGAGGAGAGCCCAGCAGTGGGGACGAGAAGCCTCCGGCAGGCCACCCCCAAAAGAAGAATCAAAGACGCCCGCTGAGCCCTTGGCGCCCCGAGGGGCGTTTCCAGAGGAAGAAAAACTGCGTACTTCAGCGTAAACTTTCGGAGATCCACGCAGATCTCTCGAAACAGCACTGGACTCCACTGGCGGCGCCTCTGGCGCCAACTCTTGCGCGCATCGAGGGCCAGGAAAGGGGCCTCAGCGCGCCGATCGAAGAAATCTGGGCGGATCTCCGAAAGTTTCTGCGTGTACAGTGTTTTATTCGAGATTCCAGGCCGCCTCCGAGCACTTGAGCTAGAGCCCTGGACCCCATCTTTCCGCATGCAGAGCGGGCGAGGCCGCAAGAAACCCTCGCACGAAGCAGCACTGAGAATCCGCGCGCGGGGTGGAATTCCTTTTATCACAACGCCCTTTAGTGAAAGCCTCCAGTGGCGCTCCACATGCGCACGGGAACGCATTCCGAGTGGACCTAGGCGGGATAGCCAATCGAAGTCTAATAACAACCTAACGTATCTGGCGGAACGCACGTCGGTGAATTATTGAAACCGAGCACACTGTAATGCCAATGTCGAGCGAACTAGTGCACATGTCCTGTCGACTTGTCTTGGTGGGCGTTCTCGCCATGCCCGACCTCGATTTCCGCGGGAACTCATCGCGCAGCAACGCGCAGAAAGGAGAGCTTAGATACCCTGACGAAAAGCATATGGTTTCTTGATGAGCGTCCCCACTGTAACACTCCTCGAGCCGGGCCGATCCGCGAGGGCCCATGGAGGGGCCCGAGGCGAGGCGGCACTGGCGCGAATCGTAACGTGATCGACCCCCTCCCACCCCCTCCCGATTACGCTGGATAGCGCCAGGAGGGAAAATTAGCATGGCGAAGACTCCAATCATGTGCAGTTGTGAGTACCGCAACAGCGAGTGCCTTCTGAGGTGAAACTCCCTATGGGGCAACGCCCGCATGCGAGCTGTGTCGCTGGGGCCTTCGGTGGAGCTCCCTGTGCAGCCCCGAAAAGCGTGATGTGGGTGCCGAAACGGGGGCGGCGCCCACATGCCGGCTGCGCCACTGGGGCCTTGGGTGCAGCTCCCCGCGAGGCCACGCGGCGTGTGAAGGGTGTGCCGAAACGGGGGTGTCGCCCACATGCTGGCTGCGCCAGTGGGGCCGTAGCTGGAGCTCCCTGTGGGGCCATGCAACGTGTGATGGGTGTGCCGCAACGGTGGTGGCGCCTACTTGCAGGCGGCGCCACCGGTGCCTTAGGTGGAGCTCCCTGTGGGGCACGAAACGTGTGAGGGGTGTGCCGAAACGGGGGTGGCGCTTACATGCGGGCTGCGTCACTGGTGCCCTGGCTGGAGCGGAGCTCCGTGTGGGGCCACGCAGCGTGTGAAGGTGTGCCGAAACGGGGATGGCACCCACATGCAGACCTGGACCTTAGGCGGAGCTCCCCGTGGGGCCACGCAACGTGTGAGGGGTGTGCCGAAACGGGGGTGGCGCCCATATGCGGACGGCGACAGCTGGACCTTACGCGGAGCTCCCTGAGGGGCCACGCAACGTGTGAAGGGTGTGCCGAAACGGGGGTGTCGCCCACATGCGAACGGCGCCACCTGAACCTTGGGTGGAGCTCCCTGCGGGGTCACGCAACGTGTGAGGGGAATGCCGAAACGGGGGTGGCGTTCACTTGCGGGCTGCGCCAGTTAGGCCTTAGCGTGAGCTCCCTGTGGAGCCACGAAACGTGTGCGGGCTGTGCCGAGACGTGGGTGGCACCCACATGCGGACGGCGGCACCTGGACCTTAGACGGAGCTCCCTGTGGGGCCACGCGACGTGTGAGGGGTGTGCCGAGACGGGGGTGTCGCCCACATGCGGGCGGCGCCATTGGGACCTTAGGCGGAGCCCCCCGTGGGGCCACGCAACGTGTGAGGGGTGCGCCGAAAGGCCACGAACTATGTGACAGGCGGCGCCACTGGAACCTCAGGTGGAGTTCCGTTTGGGGCCACGAAACGTGTGCGGGCTGTGCCGAAACGGGGTTGGCGCCCACATGCGGACGGCGGCACCTGGACCTTAGGCGGAGCTCCCTGTGGGGCCACGCAACGTGTGAGGGGTGCGCCGAGACGGGAGTGATGTCGATGATGATGATGATGATGATGATGATGATGATGATGATGATGATGATGATGATGATTGTTCGTGCCCTGCTAACCTCACGGTATGGCCCGTTTCGTAAATGTTCATATGGAAGTAAGAAGTTGCATATAAAGCCTTCGGCAGCATCAGGGTAGATGCTAAAGCCAGCATTCACGCACACGCGACTGAGAATCGAAGAACATTTCACGCTGTACGAGGATACTGTAGAGAGCTTCCACTACCTGCACCAGACCCTGGAGCTCTCCGAAAGTGACGGTACCATCGCCCCAGAAAATCGAGCCCTCGGCAACATTGTGGAAGATCGGCTGGCCAGACTGATCACAGAAGCGAGCGACCCCTAAGTGCCAGCCGCTGGAGGCCAGGCCCAACTTGGAACCCCCATCGAATTGGGCGGACACGAATTTGGTTCCCTGGAGAGGGAAAGGAGGAGGATAATCCGCCGGCCCCCTTGTGGGGCCACCAGGCTGTAGGCGCGGGTTCGCAGTTTCCAGTACCAGTTGTAGCTTGTAGTTTCCAGTGTTGCAGTTCTGCTTCTTGCTGGTTACTGTAACTAGTTGACTTTTTGCTGGTTACTGTAACTCGTTGATTGACCGCGCGAGGGGGGGGGAGGCCCAAACAAGACTTTTAGCACCCCCTGGGCGCGTTGTCTGAATTGCTGGGGGGGCTCGAAATCGACACCCCTCACGCAGATCTGCGGGGTCAGGGTCCAAAAACACAGGATTTGCCACATTTCTGAAATTCGGTGCCACCCCTCACGCAGATCCGCGGGGTCAGGGTCCAAAAACACATGGGATTTGCCACATTTCTGAAATTCGGTGCCACCCCTGACGCAGATCCGCGGGGTCAGGGTCCAAAAACACAAGGGATTTGCCACATTTCTGAAATTCGGTGCCACCCCTCACGCAGATCCGCGGGGTCAGGGTCCAAAAACACATGGGATTTGCTACATTTCTGCAATTCGATGCCACCCCTCACGCACATCCATCGCAAGGCGTGGTAACCCAAACTGCGAGAACTCCCTCGGCCCTGTAATCGCAAGGTGTGGTAACCAAGCCCGTAAACCATACACGTCTTACCAATCGCCAGGTGTGGTAACCCCTCTTGTGATCAGTTGGTTCTGCTGACTGCGAATCGGCTGCGCATGAAGTTCCGATACTGCTTCACGACAGCGCCAAGGCCTCATGGCTTAGCTCTTCCATGGCCCATTCTCCGAGAGAGGGGGCCGGCGGCAGGGGGAGAAGCCCTTACGGATAAAACGCATGAGACTGTCGACTCTCTGGAGCCTCGGAAGCAAGAGCGTCAGCTCGTTTGATAAATTCCCTGAAGACATGCCTACTCCAGTGACCAGTCCTCTCCCTGGGGGCCGCGAGGCCGCGGGACCGCAGCTTCTCGGGCCGAGTCTGAGCCGTGGCAACGAAGGGGAAATAAAAACCATCATACATACTCCAGCAGCCATTGAGCCACTGAAGATGATGATGATGCTGATGATGTTGATGATGCTGATGATGATGATGACGGCCATGATGATGACGACGACGATGGTGATGCTGACGATGCTGATAAAGATGTTGAAGCTGATGATGATGCCGAGGAGGGTCGTCGTGGCCATAGCGTCCCTTCTTAGACAAGCTGACGGTGGCGCTGGCAAGACATGGTGCATCAGGTCCCCGAGTGGCGACAGACACTGCAGGCAGCACAGACGTCGAATTGCGACACTAAACCGTCAAGCGAGGGCGGGCGGGCTTGGGAGCTTGAGCGCAAATATTCACAGATGTGCGGCCACTCAACCCCTGCCCCAGCACACTCCACACTAAAGTTGTTACCATGCCGAGGAAGGTCACCGTGGCCATAGCGTTCCTTCTAAGAAAAGCTGACGGTGGCGCTGGCAAGACATGATGCATCAGGTCCCCGAGTGGCCACAGACACTGCAGGCAGCACAGACGTACACTGTGTAACACTACATCATGGCCGCAGGCCGCCGAGACTATACAACCTGGACCGAGACAGGGCATCTATAGCATCAACGATGGAGTCGGCCACCAGCTCTGCAGCTCGGACGGGGAAGCGCGCAGCTTTGTAGCGGCAAGCCACGCCTCTGGCCGCGCGGCCGTCGAAACGTAAATGAGGCCGCCCCGATCCCGAGCACGCAATGCCACGCAGACGGCAACAAGCGTTGAGGCGCTGGAGCTGAGGACAGCGCCAGCAGAACACTCGTGTGGCCGAGCGGGTTGCCGCTCCGAACTGGCAGAGGTCCAGGTCGACTTGAAGAAACGACGGGAGACTAACTAGAGTCCGAAACTCAGGCAACCCAAAAAATGAAGCTGGCACGCGGGTGCTCTAGACAGACGGGCACAGACAAGTCGACGCAGGCACGAATGACTCTGAGGGCTGCGCGCATCCCGACATTGTCAGCCACAAACGTCGGGGGCTGCAACCGAAGCCTAGCAGGCGCGGCCCGACCCCACGAGTCTGACGCTGCGCGGACAGGCGGGGGCCCAGACTCGATCCAAGACCCGCGAGGCAAAGAGAGCCAACAAGCACAGACCGCCGACGATCGAATCCACCCAAGGAGTCGATCGACGGCGCCCTGATCGCACAGCGCAAGGCCCACATTTCGACTTGCACCCAGCGAGGGACACCCCAAACCGCGACGGCGCAGCGCTTTGCAAATGGGGGCCCCGCGGGGCCCAGCCACTGGCAAAACGAGCCGACGGCGACGGGGCGCCCACACAAAGGCACGTCGGAAGGCAGCGCGCATGCGCGAAGCTACTTTCTGGACAGAACGGGCGCCCGCTTCGCGACCCGCGGCAGGGCGGGCGCCGGCTGGAGCGGCGCTGGCAGCGGGAAGCTGCCCTTCACGAACTTGATTTCGATCAGCTCCGAGAGCCTCGCGAACACCTGCTCGCCGAACTCGGCGATCTGACTGGGACGGTCCCTGATCCGCTGCTGCGCGCGAGTCCTCTCGCCGTGCCTCCTCAAATGTTTGTCTGGTATCCATCCCCCCCTCTCCTTGACTTCCGCTATCGCACGAGCGCCCGAGAGCAAGTCGCGCGAGGCCCCCCCATGACGGAGGGCGCACAAGGACGGAGACTCCTTCTGCAGCCCCAGCTCGCGCAAGGCCCTGCGGAACATCGCGCGCGCGTCGGCGGGCCTGAAGTTCCAGAGGCTGACGTCCGCGGGCGCGTTGAGCGTCAGCGCGCGCAGCACGGGCCAGAGCTCGGGGGCGTCGACCAGCACCGACTCGTCCACCACCCCCGTCTTGCCAGGGCGGCCCGACTTCGCGTCGTTCACGACGATGCCCCCCGTGTTGAAGCCCGACCCTGGGATCGGCGGCACCAGCGAGCCCGCGCGCAGCCTGTAGGCCTCCGACGGCCTGAGGTACGCGTGGAAAACCAGCGCCGCGAATACCGCCATGCTGGGCAAGTCCTTCCAGATGAGCCAGCCTGCGACTGCCATCGCGGCCGAGCGAGGAAGAGGCAAGCGCACCTGCGGCGGCGCCAGGCGGCGCCACCCGTCGAGGGCTCGCGCCGACCGCGGGAGCGGCCGCTTCCCGACGAGGATGTGCGGCAGGAAGTGGCGCAGCGCCGCGACCGTCATCCCCCCCGTCGCTGCGTCGAAACCGCCCAGGGCCAAGTCCGTCAGGAAGCACGCGATGACGCTGTCCAGCTGGCTGGCGGTGGCGAAGTTCAGGTCGCGCCAGCCCAGCCATTCCAGGAATCGCAGGGCGCGGCGGCGGTACCGAGCCCGAGTAGGGTCGGACACCGCTGAGTTCTCGAGGAAGCTGAGGGCCCCCTCGAACAACTCCTCGGCCCGAGGGTGAACCGCCGCCCGAGCCGCCACGATCGGAACAGCCGCCTGCTTCAGGGAGGGGGCGATCTGCCGAAGAGAGGCACGCCTCCTCGAAGCTTTTGCCGTGGGAGAAGCCATGACGGGATGGCCCGTCCGCGACGTTCAGCTCAGAAGGTACCCACCGCACATAGCACCGAAGGTTGGTGGCCAGCGCGAGCGCGGCGATCCTCCGCAAAGGTCGCCGAAGGGTCGGCTTGCGGCCTCGCCCCTTGCCAGCCGCCAGAGCCAAAAGGTAAGTTACCCACGAAGAACAAAAGGCGATGGTGCTGAGGCGAAGCGTTGCGGGTGGCGTGCCGAACCGCGTCGCACAGCGCGTCACCCTCGTGCTCTAAAAGGTTCTTGGAAGGGTTCCAATGCCTCCTGGAGATCACGGTGACCCAAGACGAGACCTGCATGAGCTCCTCGGGGATATCGTTCAAGCCCTTGCTGAAGCCCTCGGGGTTCGAGCCCAAGAAACCCTCGATGATGTCGAAGTCGTCGGGGGCCCCTCCGAGGCCCAGCGCGTTCGAACGTGCCGAGACCGCCGAAGTACAACGATATATCCACCTCTCCGCCTGCCTCCCATGGTCGGCCACCCGAGGCCCGACCTCCTTGCGAGTACACACGCCCGCACCGATAGGCGAAGCGTCCGAAGCCGAGACGTGGGAGCCCCAGGGGATGTTCATGTGCGAAGTCCATAAAGGTAAAATACTAGCCACACACCAAAGCTCGAACTTGACGGAGGCCCACAGGAGCCTGACCCCAGGGTCCTTCTGGGACTTAAAGGCGTAGACAGACGACAGGATGCAGAGGGTCTCTCTGTTACAGATCATCGCCCACGTGATGTGGCCCAGAAGGACTTCGAACATGCGAGGCGAGGCGGCGCCTCGCCGCAACACCGCCAGCAGCGCCTGCCGAAGGCGCATGACGTTAGCAGGCTTCACCCTCGCGGTCCCAAGGTCGCCGTTGATCTCGAGGCCCGTGAAGACGGATACGGCCGAGGCGGTACCGAGCGAGTGCACAGGTAACCCCCGCGCTTCCAGCGCGCGAGTCACCTCATCCCTCTTGGCGGTGACGGCGATTGGGTCGCCCTCCACGATGGCGAAGTTGTCGACGTAGCCCGCTGCCGCCACGCTGTCCTTGGCCGAGAGGGCGGGGCTCGGGCGGCCATCCTCGATGAGGTCGCCGTCGCCGAACCCGCAGTGGACGAGGGCCCGAACAGCAGCGACCAGCCCCAGCCCACCGGCAGGACGCGCACCATCGGCTGGAGGAAGCAATCGGACGGGATGGGGGGGCCGTCGAGCTGCTTGACATTGAGCAAGCGATTGGAGATGGTGGGAAGCGTGAACAGCTCCCCCATGCCCTTTGGCACGAGCATGTGGTAGAAGGCGCGCTGGATGTCGCCCTGGGCCAGCACCACGGAGTGGTCCGACTCCAGGGCGGCCCGCGCCGCCGCCGCGGGGAGCGTGGTCTGGGGCGGCGCCGCGAAACCCTCGCTCGCCACCCTCGCGTCGACGACGAGGCGAAGCGCGCCTTTGCCAACCTTCTCGACAAAGAACAAACCCAAACTATAAGGATCACCAGCCCGCGCCACACGGAAGGAGATCATACCACCCTGCAGTAACTCACCCACGGCGCCGGCGTAGGCCCCGGGGCTCTCGCCCAACATCGGGTCGACGTAAGGGAGCTGCGGCGCCAAAGCCGCTCCAGGGTCTGAAGCAGACGACTCACCTTTGAGCATGGTCCGTCTCCGTCCCGACAAACATTCGCGCTCGGCCTCCCCGACGAGAACAGCGACATCAACTGGGGCCGTCGAGAGATCAGGCCAGGACACAAGGTCCGCGTCGTAGGGCTTGACGCGCTGGGAGTCCGAGGAGTACCCAGGCGCCGACGCGAGCAGCTCTGTCAAGGCTGCTTCGCCAGAATGAGCATCCTCATGATATTCAGGAGGTAGCGGGAAATGTCGATAGGCCTGGGAGGTGCGATCCATCGCGCTCGCCTGCGCCGCCGATGCCGTTAAACCAGGCGGGGCAGACGCAGGAGAGAAGTGGCAGCTCAGCTGGTTCAGGGCTGCGATGCCGTCGTTGGCCCATCTCCGCCAAGCAGCACCGCGCTGGGCGCGCTGGCGCCCCCGACGGCTGCGGCAGGCTTCCACGCGAGCGCCCACCGCCAGAGCAGGTTGGGGGAACACATCACGCTGACGAGCTCCAGGGTCCATCGCGACGAAATGGTGGAGGCGCACCCCCACGAAAAAGCAGGACACACCCAGGCGGCACCGAAGCGCCTGCACCCGCCTGGGAGAAGCTCTCGAAGGGCTATGCGCGCGCCGCCCGCTCCTCGCGGGCTTTGCGCCTCTCCTTGGCAATGGCGGCCTCCGCCTTCAACTGGTCCACGATGAAGTCCGTGAGGGCTGGCGCGATGCACAGGTTTCCCTTGCTCGCCGACGCCCCCATGTAGTGGTCCGCCTCCACCGCCAGCAAGCTCGAGCTGGCAGTCTTGGCATTATTGTCCTTCTCCGCCTTCTTGTCCTCAGCAGCCGCCTGCGCGGTGACGGTGTCCTCGTAGTGCCGCTCCTCGATGAGCTGGATCTGGCGGCAGATCAGCTCGTTTGACGCCAACTCCGCGCAGTTAATCTGGTCGTAGCAGCTGCCTAGCTCGAGCAACCTGCAATTCATCTCGTGCTGCTGGCAAGTCGAGTCCGTGTCGCGCAGCATCGCCTCCGCCTTCCACTTGGAGTGCCACGCCAGCGGGCCGCCCGCGTTGCGCCTCATGTGATCGAGGCACCACTGCGTCGTCCGCGGACCCTTGATCGGCCAGTCCGCCTGGGGCGTGGAGGAGGCCAGCAGGGCCGCCGTGGCGAAGTCCAGCGCCCGCCGCCCAGCCGCGTCGCGCACTATCGGGTGCACGCGGCAGTCTGCCCCAGCCGCCCCACCAGCGCCTGCGGCGGCTGCCGCCGCCGCGGGACCCCCTGCTGCCGCGGCGGGCGCGGCCGCAGGGGCTGCGGCAAGCGGCGCGGGCACCCCCAGGGCGGCCGCCAAAGCCCCCGCCCCGCTTAAGCCAGCGGCGCCGCCGCCGACGGGAGGCGCGGCAAGGGGAGCCGCCACCACGGCCGCCGCGTCCGCGGGGTCGTCCAGCTGCACGCGTTGCGGAGCCCAGGCGGCCCCGCCGCCCACGCCTGCAGCCAACACGAACGGCGAGGCGGGCACGGGCACGCCACGCAGCATCGCGGCCGCCCGCCGGTGCGCCCACATGGTGACCGCGTCGGGCGCTGCCGCGAACCGATACGTGTTGAGCTCGGCGACGCCGAACAGCGGAGCCCCGAGGCCTCGAAGAGGCCGCACCTCGAGCAGGTCCGCATCCACGACCGTCGACTCCTCGTAGACGTCTCCGTCCACCGTGAGGACCACAGCCGCGTCAAGCGGCACGTCCAGCAACGTGATCCGCTCATGGTATACTGCGGGTCCTCCCACGCGATATCGAACGGCGGGCACATCACCTGGCCGTGGCATTCTGAATGGCGGCCCTTGCCTGCTGCGAAGCCAAACGGCGAAGCTGCTCGACCGACGGCGCCACGCCCTCCGTGCCAGCGCTGACCGCCTCCGATGGGACAGAGGCTCTCACTTCCGCAGCCTGCGACCTCCAGCTCCAGATCGCGGGCGCCACGAAGACGCCCACCAGCAGCCCGAAGAAGAAGAACACAGTATGGCTGCTCCAGGCCGTCAAGACCTGCAGCGCGTGGGGCCCGTCGATGTTCGGGCAGGAGACGCTGTATGACGGGGAGCACTCGCACGTACAGGCAGGGCACGCGGGAGATGGTGAGGGCGAAGCCGACCACACCACCAGGGCCTGCGAGGCGCCGCGCGCGAGATCCGAAAGGAAACGCGTGGCGGCCGCTTGCATGCCCCTCAAAAGCTTGAGCACAAATATTCACGGATGTGCGGCCACTCAACCCCTGCCCCAGCACACTCCACACTAAAGTTGTTACCATGATGATGGTGATGATGCTGATGTTGATGATGATGCTGATGCTGATGATGATGATGCTGATGATGGTGAAGTTGATGCTGATGTGCGGAAAGAAGAGGCAGGGATGGGAGGAGGGAGGAGAAGGAGGAGAAGGAGGAGGAGGAGGAGGAGGAGGAGAGGAGGAGGAGGAGGGGGAGGAGGAGAGGAACGCGGGGCGCTGTCTCTTCAAAACGAAGACCCAACACCACATGACAGTTGGGAGAAACACTGGACCCAGAGGCCCGAAGCTGGGCGACAAACGCCCAGCGCGAAAAGAAGCCGCAACGCCTGGATCATGGGGAGAGCCTGGCCGGAGGCCTGGGGAGATCCGATGTCTTGATCTTTTCCAACACGGGGCACCCAGAAGTCCAGACACTTTCCCCAGGACCCGATGTTCGTCCCACGAGCAATTTGTTGGCGGCCCTTGGGCCCGGCGAAGACCCCCCAAAAGCCGAAACATGTGAAAACATCAGTCTTGAGTTCTGTTTCCAATACTGTGAGTTCCAAAAATGCGAAACATTAGCCTGGCGAAGGACACAACCATATGCAAGTGTGAGAACCGCAGTTGTAAATACCGTCTTCGGTGGAGCTCCCTATGTGGCCACGAAACGTGTGCGGGGTGTACCGACATGAGCGGGGGGGGCATGCGGGCGGTGGCACTACGGCCTTCTGTGAAGCCCCCTATGGGGCCACGAAACGTGTGAGGGGTGTGCCGAAATGGATGTGGGGGACGCATGCGGGCGGTTGCTCTGGGGCCTTCGATGGAGCTCCCTATGAGGCCACGAAGCGTGTGAGTGGTGTGCCGAAATGGGTGTGAGGGACGCATGCGGGCTGCGCCACTGGGGCCTTAGGTGGAGCTCCCTATATGGCCACGAAACGCGTGGGGGGTGTGCCGAAACGGGGCTGTCGCCCACATGCGGGCTGCGCCACTGGGGCCTTGGCTGGAGCTCCCTTCTGGGGCCACGAAGCCTGTGAAGGGTGTGTCGAAAACGGGGTGTCGCCCACAGGCGGGATGCGCCACTGGGGCCTTAGGTGGAGCTCCCTGCGGGGCCACGAAACGTATGAGGGGCATGCCGAAACGAGGGTGACGATGCTGATGATGAGAGAAGGGAGGGGGAGGAAGGAAGGAGGCAGGGACGCGGGGACTCTCTTCAAAACGAAGACCCAACACCCCAGGATGCTTGGGAAAAACAAAGGTTGCGAACAAAAACGCTGCCCGAGCCGTAGGTCCAATATTTCTACTGCATTATTCGAGCTGGATCGATCGGTGATGTCCCTGGGGCCCGAAAGTCTACGTCAACACCCCTTGGAAAAGAATGCAACACCCGGATGAGATCTCATGGTAGGTTTGTACGTCTGATGCCTGGGACTGGGCGCGCTTCTGGAGGCCGCCCCCACCCCCTGGCCTGTCCGCCTTCTCCCTCTTGTCGCTGGGCGGCGCGGCCGCCGGGGACGCGCGCTTTCGCTTGTCGCGGCGCCTGTCCCGCGACTCTGAGGACTCCCGGGGCTCCCGCCGCCGGCCCTGAGAGGGGGAGGGGGGGCGGGCGGGCAGGCTCGGACGTCGCTCCTCGATTTGTTCGAGGCACTGGCCCCCCACTTCTCGACCACTTCCATGGGACTGGCTTTTCGTTTTCGACACGCCGGATGTCTGGGTTCCTGCCTCGCCCGCTCCTGGCGTTCCCGCTGCTGCCCATCTCGTCCCTGCTCCTGCTCGGGCCTCCTCTTATTCCTGGTCCCCCTCAGCCATTCAGCTTCCGCCTGCTGGCATTTCTGGTGCTCATGCTCGTGCCGACGCTTTGCCCTGCTCGTGATCGCGCCATGGTCCTCCTCCTTCTGCTGCTGCTGCTGTTTCGATTAATCCTCATCCTTCTCCGCCTGTCTTCTCCTTCTCTTCATCTTCTAGATAACTCCTCCTCGTCCGACCAGCTGACACGTCGGAAGGGCTGAATGGGCGGTTCGCCTGAGACGTCCTCCCCGCTTATGACCCCGAAGCTTGACATTTCAGCCAGCTGCTCTGATGGATGGGCATGCTCTTCAAAATGATGCTCTCGCTTTAGCGCCGCACACATTTGTGTCCCCAGCTGGCAACGCTTACGCGGATGGTGGATGGTGGTTCTCAAAATGGTCTCTCCTTAGCGCCGCGCACCGCCATCTTGAAAGCTGGCAACAGTTACACGGGTAAAAGGCGGTTATTTTTTCTAAATGTGTGGCCCACCGCCTTAGCGTCGCGCGGAGTCGCCTCAAAGCTTGCATCAGTTACACGAGTAGAGGGTGGCTCTTTGAAAGATGTGGCTCTCGCCTCAGCGCCGAGCACATTCCTTTGTTTGTATATTCCACCAGCACATGTCTTACAACTTCCGACAATTACACGCGTTAGGGAGGTGCAAGTTTGAAATGCATCTTGCGTGTGAAACCTCCGTAGCCCTGCTCATTGTGCATCTGAAACTGTGATAGAGCTACACGGGATGGAGGTCGGCTTCTTTTCAATTCTGGACGGTCTCTTGAGACATCATTTGTCTGTGTAACAGTCCGCATCAACGAACGACAAAATAGCACGGATTGCGGGCGGCTGATTTGCAAAGCGGGGATCTCTGTGGCTAGAAGCGTGGATGTCAGCTCCTTGTCAAAACGAGGCTCTCGCCTGAACTGCAAGGTCACTCGTCTTTCAAGGGGACGCTTCGCGCAGAGAAAGAAGTTGCAATAGGGGCTCACGAGTTTGGAACTAACGACGGGTGGGCGTGTTGCAGCATCGTTCATGCGTCTTGGGCTTACTTTAGTCCTCCTCCTCCTCCTCCTCCCACTCCTCCTCCTCCCACTCCTCCGCCTCCTCCTACTCCTCCTCCTCCTTGTCTCCGCGCTCCCCCCCTCAATCAGACCTCCGACGTCGGGTATCGGGGTGTCGAAGAGCGTGTTTCACGTGCGCTTGGGCAGGGCGGAGGGTCGTTACCCCCACCCGCCCACCCCTGGGCAAGAGGGGGATTCGGGGATCTGGACCCGCCCCCCCCCCGCCCTGCTCCCGCCCCCTACTCTCGCCGCCGGCAAACGACGACGACGACCACGACCACGACCACGACCACGACCACGACGACATCAACGACGACATCAACGACGCCGACGACGACGACGGCAACGCCGACGAAAACGCCGACGATGACGACGCCGACGCCGACGACGACGACGGCGCCCCACCTATCTGGCCCGCCCGCCCGCCCGGTCCGACCACCCGTCTGACCCGCCCGCTATAAGTCCCGCCCGCCCGCCAGACCCGTCGACGTCGTCGACGTCGCCGCGGTTGTCGTCGTCTTTTGCCTGCGTCGTCGTCGTCGTCGTTTGCCGACGGCGTCGTCGTTTGCCAGCGGCGAGTGCGGGAAGGTAGGGTATGGAGGGAGGGAGGTGGGAGGGGGGGTCCCC